ATATTAAGAAGAAATTATTCTTTTTTTTTTTACCTAAAATTAGATGATTATTTCTTGAATTGAATCCGAATCACGAACTTTCAACTTTTAGATCATGAGTTTCTAGCTTTTAATTTCAAGAACTCGATGCACAAAACCTCTAAGTCTTCGAAGTGATCTCCAAATTCAAGAATACATTGATGGATGGGCTACTCAAATTTAAAAAACTAAATCCTGACTGAATAGATGAAGAGAAGAACAAAATATTTTTTTTCCTCTTTTTCTCCCTCCAAATTTGCATATCATGGAAGAATTAATGTATTGTGTTGTGTTGTGTTGTGTAGGATTACTTGGTTCCATGTAGTCTCTATTTATAGAGATAAAATAGTTTCAATTCATGTACAGTAAAAATTTCAAATAAAATTTAAATAGGAGTCTCAATTGAAATTCAAATAAGAGTTTCAATTTTAACCATTCAATAAAAAATATTTAAGAAGACAATATACCCATTTTCAGGGTGATAGTTCCCGACACGAATTCATGTTCTCTATTTCGCTCTTTCTCAAGCTCCTAACGCACCAAAATATTTGATCAATCATATTGATCTCACTCATGAATCAAAGAACTATTAAAGTCACGAAAAGATATACACAATCGTGTCAGAGATTTAGATGAACTATGTGACGATAAGTGAAATTTAATTCTCCACACGATCATGCTATAAAATAAAATTAGACACGTGGTCCGTTCAATAGACTACAAGTGCACTAGCGTCATCTTTAAAGTACAAATCACAAAGCCGAATAGTGAATCAATCAACACTACAATATTCCACTACAAGGCACCTACCCTTATACATTGATTATAAACAAATTATTTATGATGAAAATATAAATTATGTCATACTATATTTCTCAACACAAGCACCCAACATATATTATTACAAGTGAACATTTTTCATTTAAATTTTGTATTCAACTATCCAAAAGTAGGTATGAAGGATAGTGTGGGTTCAATTGGGTGCCCTATTTCCCCTTGTGAAGTCTAATAATCAGAATGATGGTTTAGGTTTAGCAAGTTGGTCCCCCAATCAAAACATACAAACTTAGAATTATGAAGGAAACATTTATACATCCATCTGCCTGGGATAAATTACTTTTGATAGAATTAGAACTCCAAGATTCATAGCCTCTTCATTATTTCCTTCCCCTTTTCTCAATTTGAGTGAAGTTCTTATTGTTTAATATTATCTGTACAATTTGAACATGAGTTGGTCAAATATATCCTAATTCACACTAAACTTTCTCAATTGTTATTGAACTTTAAAAATTTTTCGAGTTGTCAAAAACCTTTTTTTAATATTTTTTAGTTGCTATTAAACTTTCACACGAAGAATTTTAAAATTACAGAGACGCATTTGAAAAAGTTCAGTGATAATTAGAATACTTAACCCAATATATTAAGTGTCTACTTATTATAACGAGATGCATCAATTCTAATATTTCGTTTTTCACTTATGAAATTGTGATTACATGTTTGTTATTGATGCTGATGACTAAAATTGACGTGACATTAATTATAGATCAACTTTAAGAGAAATTTAGTGGGAAAATGTGTTTAATTGTTGAACTATTGTAAAAAGAAGAACAATTTTCATTGAATAGATTGTAATGTGTTACAGAAAAAATGCTTAGCTCAACCTTTCACTAGGGTCTTTGCCTCTATATATATATAGGCCTTACAACAGGAGCCTTCCACACTCTACCTTAACAAGCTACAGTGTTCTCTTGTGGTCTAAGTTGTAATTGCCTACAGCCCAGGAAACCAGTACGTTCTCCTAATTGATGGTCACCATAATGCTCATGTCAAATGTGACTCTTGTCTATCTTTGATTGGTTGTTATGTGAGGTGCTGATGTTATCAACAAACATTTCTTCACTTTACTCGCGATTATGTTTGCATATAACAATGGCTTTTTAGCCGTTCTAACCGGCTGGACCATATGGTTCGACCTCACCTCATAATCAAAGATCCTAATAATCAAGCCTCTTTAAAAACTTTAAAGTGGATCCGCACTCTTGTTCGAGGTGTTCCCATGAGATTAGACACCAAAAATTGATGTTATTACTATCTTGTTATTTGGTCAATAATTTGATTGATTTGAGAAGTGCATTGATACCAAGAGATGAAATGTGTAATTTATCTCTAATCGGTAATCACACATATCATAGATTCTGGATAAAGAAATATAGCTATCTTGTTATTTGGTCATTAATTGATTTTTGATAGTTGTTAATGTACTATTGTGTGTTCTCAATCCTTGTAGACATGCAATGAATCAATACATGATAATATGTTCGACTCCATTAGACCTTTTCATGTGCACTCTCCTAATTGGTGGGTCATATATTCTGTCAGTGATCCTTTAATCATTATGTCTCCTGGTGAGGTCGGATTACCCCCAGGTCGGAGCTCGTTCTGCTGAGGTAGGATATCAACAGTTGCTATTAAACTTTTAAGCGAAGAATTTTAAAAGTACAGAGATGCATTTTAAAAAGTTCAGTGATAATTAGAATACTTAACCCAATATATTGAGTGTCTACTTATTATAACGAGATGCATCAATTCTAATATTTCGTTTTTCACTTATGAAATCGTGATTAAATGTTTGTTATTGATGCTGATGACTAAAATTGACGTGACATTAATTATAGATCAACTTTAAGAGAAATTTAGTGGGAAAATGTGTTTAATTGTTGAACTGTTGTAAAAAGAAGAACAATTTTCATTGAATAGATTGTAATGTGTTACAGAAAAAATGCTTAGCTCAACCTTTCACAAGGGTCTTTGCCTCTATATATATATATATATATAGGCCTTACAACAGGAGCCTTCCACACTCTACCTTAACAAGCTACAGTGTTGGCTTGAGGTCTAAGTTGTAATTGCCTATAGCCTAGGAAATCATTACTTTCTCTTAATTGGTGGGCACCATAATGCTTATGTCAAATGTGACACTTGCCTATCTTTGATTGGTTGTTATGTGAGGTGCTGATGTCATCAACAAACATTTCTTCACTTTACTCGTGATTATGTTTTCATATAACAATGGCTTTTTAGTCGTTCTAACTGCCTGGACCATATGGTTCGACCTCTCCTCATAATCAAAGATCCTAATAATCAAGCCTCTTTAAAAACTTTAAAGTGGATCCGCACTCTTGTTCGAGGTGTTCCCATGAGATTAGACACCAAAAATTGATGTTATTGCTATCTTGTTATTTGGTCAATAATTTGATTGATTTGAGAAGTGCATTGATACCAAGAGATGAAATGTGTAATTTATCTATAATCGGTAATCACACATATCATAGATTCTGGATAAAGAAATACAGCTATCTTGTTATTCGGTCATTAATTGATTTTTGATAGTTGTTAATGTATTATTGTGTGTTCTCAATCCTTGTAGACATGCAATGAATCGATACATGATAATATGTTCGACTCCACGGGGTAATCTACGGACATTAATCAACAATGGGAGTGAATATTACCAAATACGAGCTTCTAGAATTAAAGTCAATAAGTTTTTAGTTAAAAAACCAACCAATACATGAATTTCACTTATTCGTATAAAGTTTACTTAATTGACTTCAATACTAGATAACACAATTTCCATGTGAGATCGGCACTCTACTCTTACACTTTATTATTTGTCAGCGTTATCGTGTACTTGCGATTCACATTTGAACACTAAAACTTAAATCTATGTACTTTGCCGAATACATTCATCATTTTGTCTAAAAGTTTAAAACTTTTAAACATGAATCATATGTACTTATTTTATCTTGTGTTCAATTATGAGAAGGTGGAGACCAACTAACTTTCCACGGTAAGTTTTCAAAAATATTATGGCGCCCAGTCTAATAGTTAGAGAATGATGGTTTAGGTTTAGCCAGTTGGTCCCTCAATCAAAAAGATTCAAACTTGGAATTATGGAGTATATATGTGGAGGGAACATTGAAGTTAAAGGTTATGCTTCCCATGAAAATGGCGATGGGCCAGGATGCCTGATTTTGAAATTTTTATCCCCCACCTCGAGAACTCAAAAAAAACATTCATTTTGGTAAACAATTTTTTCACACATTAAGGCCATGTTTGATTCAACAAAAATTCCATGGAAAATGGAAAAGAAATTCCATTTCCACCCAAATGGTATGTTTGATTGGCCAAGTTTTCTTGGCAATTCATTTACTCACTTTTGCCTCACACGGTTGGTTTTCCATCGATTTGAGGAAAATAAATTCCCACAAATTTGGTGGGATTTGATTTTCCAGGTTTTTTTTTTTCAATGAAAATAAATTATATCCCTTTAATAGACAATTTCTATGTAAAAGAAAGCCAAACGAATATCAAAAGATCCAAACTTTCAATATTTTCCACGTGGAAAATTATACCAATCAAACACAACTAATTGACAATTCTCAGGAAAACAATTCTAGATAATTCAATTCCCTGTAATTCATTTTCTTTCCACCCAAATTCTACTCTTGCAATCAAACGGACCCTAATTGTTAACTAATATATAATATTAATTATTTATATTTGGGAAAAAATCTATAATAACGATCGTCAATTTATGGAAAACCCCAATTTAATACATCAACTCTCTCGTGACTCGATCGAGTTTTTTAATTTCTTATTAAACGGAAAAATAAGTTCCCGTAATTATGTATTATATATAATGATCCATGTTATATTTTTCTTTGAAATGAATGAACCAAAGAAAGAAAGTGATGTAATGGATTCTGCATTAAATCAAAATAATAGGTAACTTATTGTTATTGATCTAGGTTACCATATTTAGAACATTAATTAACTAATATCTAAGAATGTTGATCATATAACAAAAGCGATGCATTGGAAAATCAGGTTTCATACGATAAACTCGACGCTAAAAGTAACAATACTACTATATTGAGTAAGTTCTCATAATTTGCATAGCATCAAAAGTTGATGTCCTTTTACAGATGTAGAGAAGTATCAACATCAGAGTCGGAATTATCGATCTTGATTGATGAAGAACAAACCGAGGGCGTGTCAACTAGCCAAGAAATGGTGCCACGCGGGACCTCAGCTCCCTGGAAACTCGGGGACTTGATCTGTGTATCCGGGAAGAGGGAGAGAGAAAGTTGGCAGTTCGGCTTAGGAGCGAATATCATGTGTTCAGAGCTAACACACGATTTATGTTCGGGCTCGTAATGCATGATGGGTGGACTGTAAGGTCTCTCGGATTCGGACAATATTCTCAAGAGAGCTTTCTCCTGTCTCATTTCCTTCATTTTTTCCAATTGCCTAAACCTTTCTTGCAACAAGGCAATGGAAGAAGGTGGACTATGATCAGTTTCCTTAAGCATTTGTTCTGAGAAATTAAGAACTTATGTCTCTATATGAATTTAACAAGCTGCATGGCTCTCTGTCTCTCTCTCTCTCTCTATTTATATGTATATAGAGAGCGTCAGCATGGTTAAAATCGTCCATTTGCTTTCGTTTATTACAAATAAAGGAGCGAAAAAAAGAAGGGAGAATCGGCAAGTATAGCATAAAATCCAAGAGGAAAGGGTTAAGTAGCCAATCTAAGAAGTACTTTGTTTTAGTGTATGGCCAAAGTGGAGCTAAAGAAGAAAAGGGCATTAGAAAAAGTCCAAAATGAGATTAAAACTAGCTCATGGAAGGGTGTGTTTGGAGGAATAATAGGTCGGGTGGATGCTCTGTGTAATTGTCTACATAGGCCCTCTTTGCACATCAACTTTTAAAACTTTTTTTTTCCCAACTTCTCAAGAAATTTAACTTTTTTTTCTCACAACTTATATTTTTTTCCTTAGTTGGTTTCGACCTTGGAATCTTGTGTTTGGAGGGAAGAGGGAAAAAAGGACAAGCATTAGAAGTGGGAATAATCTTAGGAGGTTATGATTCTTTGATTGAAACTATAATAGTACCATGATAGTGAAATTAAATAAGAATATCTAAAACATTCCTCTATCACCTTGATAAATGCAAAAACAACAAACATTCTCTCTCTCTCTCTCCTCTTTCTCTCTCTATCTTTCAATATCATATTTTGTCTTTGTGCCATTGGAAGAGAATGGCATGCATGAAAGAAAGCTGCAGATGATAGTATGCTTGTAAGTTTTTTAATGACCCACCCCACCTACCCCCTACTCCATTATTGACTAGTATTATTTTGGAATGTCCAACTTTGCAAAGCATAAAGAGGGAATAAGAGTAGACAAGGCGTGCATTAATTATTATTTATATATATTTTCCACACACATAAATACACTTAGTGTGTGTACTTGAATTGGATGGAAGTAAATTAGGCGCATCCTAAGGGGGTTTTGTCACCCCTCAGGTGTTAACATGTTTATAGTGTGGTGCGCCATAGACACCATTCATGTCCATAAATATTTAGGCATTTTAATAAATTAGTCTCAATTGCATAAATATTAATTAATATTAGTTAACTATATGTTACATTTGGTAACATATGTAACATACAAATAAATGCAATATATGTTTTTATTTTTGGAATTTAACTTCTTGTTTTGAATCGTTTATATAGTGGAACGATGACTTTGTCTTTGCATATGTATAATTGATTCTACCCTACTTGCTCTCTCACCCACTCCCTTCACATTTCATTTGAGTTATTCAAGAGGATTTCTACGTGTTCAAAGTAGCTTACATGTGTTATACTTCGCTTGAGCTTGGCTAAACAAAAGTTCAGAAAGTACATTCTAGGTGCTCCAGCTTAGATCAACCTGTTTATGATCTGTCAAACAATTTTTTATTCACACATTTCGTGAGACTCACAAGTAGTATCCATTTTTTCATCATCCATTTTTATATATTTATACTTAATCCCGATTATAAACAACTCCCAAACATGCTAGCAATTTATAATCATTATTACACATTCAACTAGCGATCCCAACTAATCTATCCGTAACATGTTGTATGTTAAGTTGTGGAGTTTAATTATTGTCGATTATAATTATTGTCACTTCATGGGGCTGATCTCGGATTAAAATTTCTTTAATGACCGTTTAGAAATTTATATTATTGTAAAATTCTATTAAGAAATTGGAATTCTTATAAAATTTGATTCTGCCCTAATTTATCTTATAAATAGGGAACCATCGTTAGACTTATATTATTGTTATCAAAAGGAGAGAAAGGGGGCCAGAGAAAATAGGAGTCGGATTTTCTCTTGTAAATCTTCTTTCATATAGTAAATTACTGTAATTGTTGGAGATGATGTAATCTCACATTAAGACGAACATTTATAAATCTTGCGTCTTATTGCGTGTTTAGTTTTTTTTTTTTGAATTGATTGTTTTCGGTAAAATAGAATTAGGATTTATAATTCTCAAGACTTGGTTCACCAACTTGATATGGCAACAAGTCATAGTTAATGTCAATAAATAAATAAGACCAAGATAAAATCTCCACTTGACTCAAGCGTGGTGTAGTAGTAAAAAAGTTTAGATCATGACATCAACCACAACAGTGTAGGAAATGAAAATGACCACCAATTTGCCTAAAATTTATCCAAAATAGGTTCACACCCCCGTTTGAGCATCTACCAAAGGATTAGGGGCGAGCACTAGCACACTTTGATTCTCCTTCGATAGTGATGTACAAATTACCAAAAAAATAAAAATAAAAAATCACTCTTGTTTCAGACACAAGTAGAAAAACCTCAGTCTTCTCATAATCTGTGTACCAAACGTAGTACAGAAAACAAGAAATGAATCTTTACATTTTTTACAGAGAAAACTGATCGGGTACAAAAACCTAATTTCTATGAGAGACGAATGCCAGGGAGAGGAGAAGATACACCAACAAATATGTTCAACTAAATCTAATCAAGTCCAGTGAACCAGCAAACGCATGTGGAAAAGGAAGTTTCACGACTCAACTTCGATCTTTTTCTATTCATATAGATATTGAATAGAATGAGCTCGCTTCATGATTTTGTGACATATCAACTAGAAATCGTTCGAAGAAATCTCCTAAAGTGAACAACTATAGCCCCTTTTGGGTGTTTGATAAAATGAAGAAGTTTTGGAGTCATAGATCCAATGGCCAACTATATTCCACGTACCATGCATATAGAAGAAGTTTGAAACAATTAACAAAAATATGTTTGTTAAAGTAGCACCATTTCAATATTGCACATTAAATGTAACCGTACACTTGCTCCTGAATCGAGTTTCATCTCAAAGCTTAATCTATTAGTAGTAATCCAACTCTTTATAAATCCATCATCTACCCAATGTTTAACTCATACGGTACTTTGTTTGCATGTACCCAACAATCTCCCTTATGAACGAAGTATTGTATTATCTTAACGCCTTTCAAGTGAAAGCCTATCCATCTCTCGTCTTCAAACAAGAAAGGAATATAATCTATCAAGGCCCTACTCTTCCACTTAAGGAATGTATTCCCAAGGGACCAAAAATGAAGATTTTGGAAAATAATCTTTAATTGAATGAATGGTGAAATTCAAGTTTATTAGTATTACTATGAGTCATTTGAGGGTAGGTAATATTTGAAAAATTCAAGGACCAAACTGCAGCTTAGAAGAAGTTTCATTTTTATTATTTTTCAAACTTGAGGTATTATTTTTTAGGAAAATAATGAGATGATATTTCATGTTTAGAGATGTTAATGCAATATTCGTAAGTTTGAAGACATTTGTAATTTTACAAACTTCAGAGACTAAAGTGCAATTTTTAGAAAATATTACAATGAGATGATTTTCTATCCAAATAATGTTTTTGAGGTTGAAATTGTGTGTTTGTACATATTTGGTTTGATTTTTGAATTTTTGGAGATTGATTGGAATTTTAGACCCTATCTGAGACAATTCGTGTCGAGTGAAGTTTTCAAATATTGTGATATGACATGTGATGGAGAATAATTCAAGGATTTCAACGGTATGAATTTCGTAATTTTTTCATCATGAGGAGAAAGTCAAATGATATTTTCCCAACCAAATTATACAATTTTGTGGACGAAGTTAAGGCCAGCATATATTCAATATACAACTAATTAATTTAAAGGGCCCATTTGAGATATTCTCAAAAGAATGTCTCATAGACAATATACACTAAATGAAGAAGCACTAGAACAAGATCGAAGTAGAACGTGATATGACAGAAGAGGCCAACTTGCGATGCCGGCTATAATTGTTGATCTGAAGTCTCAAGAGTACCCACAGGCACAAAGGTTAGCATATATATCCACATTACATCAATAAATAGAGATCACATGAATGGAAGTCACATACTCGACGAGATACTGATACGAGTCGAATGTACTCGGAATTGAGACATTCACAGACGACTAGTCACCCAGCAAAAGTTACAAGATACTAATACGGCCACATGAAATTTTTTCTATCGAACAACATCATCATAAGTTAGATATTTGGCCATATAATAAGGGGAGAGAAAAGTAGAATCCCACTCAATAGAGACCACGATAATACCAGAGAGAATTGTCACAATCACATCACATGTAATTGATGTTTGGGATAATTGGGTTTATGGTGGTAAGGTCATCAAAGAATACGTCTTCAAGAATTTTCTTGGATTTGATTCTAGTTTTATTTGTTCGTGTAAAATTTTAAAAGTTATTTATTTTATATTCAGACAAAGTCAAACATGAATTTTAACCATACCATACTTTTCATAATTATTATTATCTGTTCATTAACCACGCATTTCGTGGAATCATATATTATTCCTCTTAAAAAGTTACTAATAATTTTGTCTGAACACTATATGAAATGGGGATGATTCTCGTGCAGAATGCCATAAAATTAGGTAGGCAAACGAAATATTTATGGTAAATAAGAATCTATATCAGAGACTAAAGTGTAAAATTAAATATTTTGCTTGACTTTTCAAAAACAAAAAATGTTAATTGACAGAGCATTAAAAAAATAAAGTCATGATTCTGCCTAATTTCTCTTGAATAGAAAGGAAAACCATTGACTTAAAAAATAAATAAGTGAAAAGCTTCGCTCCATAGAGAACCGATGAAAGAAACAAGGGACCAATTCAGAAATATTCTTAAAAGTTTACTAAAATATTTACTTTTGAATTTTTTATTCTCAAAATACCGTTTTTTATTTCTTAATTTATTTAGCCCCTATTTGATAAGCATTATTTATTGAGAAAAAAAAAGATATTTTGAATAGTGATTTTTTGGAGAATGAAATGATAAAAGGGATGGAAAAATTTTGGATTTACGTGCAAAATATTTTATTATGTTAATGTGTGGTTGAAAAAGACTTTGCTTGTTGTACATAATTATTGCACATATGGGTGTCCATAACCCTCACATG